ACAGCATCCTTGCCTGGGGTTTCTCAGAAAAACATCTGCCTTTTCTTGGAACGTTCTTTTACCCTTTCTGCTCACTGAAGCAGATTGAGATTTAGCACTCTATTTGTTGTAATACTCATATATGACTTTCTGCTCTCCAAAGTTGGATGATTATCTCTGCCCTAATCTCTTACTGTATTAAACTCCTCTCATAATTAGGTGATAAGTTCCAGAGAGCACATGTGACAATACAACACAAACAGTGCACTGTGAAGGGTCAAGTTTAAAGAGGGTCTTTTTTAATACAGAGGTGCCTGAGGGCCTTTACCAGAGAGAGGTTTTAAAAAACGGACAAAGGGAGTTTTCCCAGAGAAAATCTGGCAGTCTGAAAGTACAGCATGCTACATTCGCTATTGTAAATTGCCTTTCCCTAGATGCAGACCTAGAAGATACAATTCCTTCCCGGGACAGGGGTCCCAGGAAGTACTTTCAGGTAAGGAAAGCAGCTTGTAGCACAGAAGAAAAAAATTTTAAAAACGCACATGATCAGCTCAATTGATTCAGAGAAAGCATTTGACAAATTTCAATATTTTTCCATTATAAAATTCAACACTGAATACTGAACCAACTAGAAATAGAAGAAAACAACCTCACCATAACAAAGGTTGTATATGAAAAATTCACAGCAAATATCATACTCAAAAGTAAAGCTTCTTCTTTAAGATCTTGAATATAAGATCTTGAATAAGAAGAAAATGTCTGCTTTTACCACTTCTGTTCAGCATAGCATTGTAAATCCTAACCAGAGTAATAAAGCAGGTAAAAGAAATAATAGTCATCCAAATTTGAAGTGAGTAAGTGAAGTTATCTCTAATCGCAGGTGACATATTCTTGTATGTAGGAAACTATAAACATTCCATAATAAACCATTAGAACTAATAAATTCAGCAAAGTAGCAGAATACAAAATCAAAATTTAAATATCCATTACATTTCTATGCACTGCCAATAAATAGTCCAGAAAGGAAATTAAGGAAATAATTTCTTAGCAATATTATCAAAAATTATCAAATATTAAGTGTTTAACTTAAGCAAGGAGCTGAAAAACTTGTACTCTGAAAACAACAAAATATTGCTAAAAGAACTTAGAGTACGCATAAATAAATGGAAAGATGCCATGTTCATCTATTAGAAAGCTTACTAGTATTAACACGTCCATATTACTGTAAGTGATCTACAGACTTAGCACAATCTTTATCAAAATTGCAATGGAATTTTTTCAGAAATAGAAAAATCCATTCTAATATTTATATGAGATCTTAAGGAACCCATATTAGCTGATCTCAAAATTTGCTATAAAGCTACAGTAAAAACAAACAAACAAAAGACACAACTGTGTGTGACTGGCAAAAAGACAAATAACATAGACAAATAAACTAGAATAGAGAGCCCACAGATAAATGTTTATGTATATGGTATATGATTTTGGACTGGATATCCAAATGCTAAAGAATGAAGTTGCACCCTTACCTAATGCCATGTACAGAAACTAACTTAAAATATAACCAAATCTACAAGTAATAGTAAAAATTTTAAAACCTTAGAAGAAAATATAGGGGGAAAGATTCATGACGTTGAATTTGGCAATTATTTCTTGGAGATGGTACAAAAGGTACAACCAAGAGAAGAAAAAATTGACATTGGATTTTATTAAAATTTAAAACTTTTGTACATTAAAAATACTATTAATAGAGTTAAAAAGGCAACCCACAATTCGGGAGAAATTGTGATCAAATCACATATCTGATAAGGGATTAATATCTAAAATACATTAAGGACTCCTGCGACTCAGCACCAAAATCAATCCAATTCAAAAATAGACAAAGGATATGAATAGACATTTATTCAAAGATGATGTACAAGTTGAAAATAAGTATATAAAATGGTGCTCTACATTATTAATCAATAGGAGGATGCAAATGAAAACCACAGTGAGATTCAACCTCACGCTTGTTTGGATAGCTATTATCAAAACCACAGAAAACAACAGGCTTGGCATGAACGTGGAGAAGATGGAACCCTTGCATTTTGCTTGTTGAAATGGTAAATGGTACAACTACTGTGAAAAAGAGTATGGCAGTTTCTTAAGACGTTGAGCAAAGAATTATTATTTTATCCAGCAATTTCACTTCTGAGTATATACAGCAAATAATTGAAAGTGATGACTCAAACATATTTGTATACCCATGTTTCTAGAGATATTTTTCAAAGAGCCAAGGTGGAAATGATCTCACTGTCCACTACTGAGTGAGTAAATAAACAAAAGGTGGTATAAATATAGAATGGAATACTATTCAGGCTTTGAAATGAATGAAATTCTGATATATGTTTCAAAATGGATGAATCTTGACATGGTAATTGAAAGAAGCCATCCACAAAAGGTCAGATATTGTATGATTCCACCTACAAGAGTTACCCAGAATAGTCAAATGTAGAGGCAGAAAGCAGAACAGTGGTTACCAGAGGTTAAAAGAAGGAGAGCATAGAGAGTTACTATTCCGCGTGTCTAGAGTTTCAGTATGGCATGATAAACATTCTGGCAATGCACGGTGGTGATAGTCACACCACAAAGTGAATGCACGAAATGCTACTGAACTTTATACTTAAAAACAGTTAAGATGGTACATTTTATATTATGCCAATTTTACTTCAATTAAAAAACGAAACATAGCTGACCATATAAGAGTGGGTCTATTTTTGGACTCTTTATAATGTCCCATTGACTCATATGCCTGAACTTATCACAACATCACACTGTGTTTATTATTAGAATCTTAGAGTAAGCTCTGAAATCAGGTAAAATAAACACTCCAACTTTGCTCATTTTATTCAAGATTGCTCTGGTTAGTGTATGTCCTTGTATTTCCATGTAAATTTTGGAATCCACTTGTACATATCTACAAAAGTATTTTGGGGTTTTGACTGGTTTGGGGTATTTGGAAAGATGTGACAGCTTATCAGTACTTAGCTTTCAATTTATGATCATGTTTTATTTCTCCATTTATTTGTTTATTTCTTTTAATTTCCTTCAGCATAGTTTCATAGTTTTCAGGATATATATCACATACATCTTTTGTTAAATTTGTTCCTAAATGTATTGTCTTTTTGAGGTATCATAGATTGTATTTTTATTTTATTTCTAGTTGCTTGTAGGTAATTTTAGAAACACAATTAACTTGGGCTATTGTCCTTATTCCCAGCAACCTGACTAAATATTTGTATTATTCTATCTTTGGTAGAATTCTTAAGGTTTTCTATGCATACCATCCTGAAATCTGTAAGTAAAGCCATTTTGCCTCTTCCTGTATAATTTTTGTTGTTTATATATAATTTTGACTTACTGTAGGAGCATAGTAAGCAACACTGATTAATGAGCCAAGGTATTACTCTTGACTTGCTTTCAATCTCAGAGAGAATGCTCAACGTTAACTCACATATTAATGAGAGGCTTTGGTTACATGACAGTTGTCATACTAAGAAAATTCTTGTCTATTCATATCTTGCTGAAAGTATTTTGTAATGGATGTTGAATTTTGTCACATGCTTTTGTGCTTGTTGACAATGCCACAAGATGTTTCTCCTTAACTCTGTCTTCCTTCTTCCCAACCCTCTGAGCTTTATTTATATGCACAATTATCTTTAAAAGAGAGAGTAGGTCTATGTGTGTCAGCTATTACTGACTGTGAAATTTAAAATCATTAATATTATTTCAGTATTGAGGTACTAAGTTTTACTGATTGTATTTCTTTGATCCGGCACCAGTGTGATGTATTTATTCTAGAGGGTCATGTGACTTGGCACCAGTGTGAGATATTTATTCTAGAGGGTCATGTGACTCATGCCACTTCTCTATTATTAACCAAAGGGAAGGAAGGACAACCCCTTGGGAACAGCTTAATCAGCCTTGACATCCAGGCCCATGATTCAGAATGATTTAAATGGTCTGCGACAAAAGAATAGTGAACAGTCTGCAAAACGTCTATTATCTTTAGTTGGCAAAGGCCTATTGATTTAGGGCCTTGTATGACTCCCAGAGGGTGTTAGTAAGAACTGATGTGAGAATTTGAGCTCAGCATTATTCACCACCAACTAAACACTCCAAGGTAAAGCTGTTAATAAGGTGAAAATTAAATATACATGCTAAATAGCTGCAGAGGTTTGGGCAACGCGGGGGGCAGAGTACATGATACTGTCTATCATCTTCTCCTGAGATCATATAAGGCAGCGTCGTTGCATTTAAGGGTGTTATTACACAATGAATGATAAACTCCAGAACTAGTTTTATGATGATGTCTTTTTGTAGAATAAAATCTAATGCCATGAAAGGATGTCTTCCACAGCTATGCTCCCTGGACATGAGTAAGTATAGCACTCATAAGTAAGCTTTGCACTGTAATTTATGGCTTTTACTGAAGCTAGATTAGCAGCAGTGTAATGTGTCAATAGATTGGAGCATTGGAGAAAAGAATTTGCACTTGGTCATAATTCCATTAGGGAGGCCCACGGAATTATTCAGTCACTATTGCAGGGAAGCATCATTCAGGCTGAGTTCAGTGACTTCTGCCTAAAGCCTCCTGCTTCTTTGATGCTGAAGGATGGGCCCCACCCTGGCACCACTCTCAATAGTTCAATGGCATGCAAGATAAGAGGAGGGCAGAGGACATCGATATGCACAGTTCTCAAATGTGGAATGATCAGAAAATGTGAGTGTCACTCCCATCATATGATGACAGCTAGGATTCATAGACAGGCTAACTACAGACCCAAAATGTGTATTCACAGACCCCAGGAAAGATGATCATACAGGGCCACTGCTTACTTAATGATGTAGGCAAAAAGTTACAGGCAGAACCATTGACTAGCTGGCTGAAAGAAAAACATGTTTAAAATGTTCTGTGAATAAACATTTTTATTAACCAAAAAAATCCCACAAAATTTTCAACAGAAGAAAAAGCTACTTACACCAGAATAGAAAGGCTCACCAGACACACATATCACATCCTGTTCCTGGATCATCAAAATGTCTTTGGCTAAGTGCAGCCGGACTTTGAAAGGCTCCTGGTTACCATCCTGCAGCAAACAAATCCCTGTCTTTGTCTTCAGATTAAAGAGAGAGAGAGAGAGAGAAAGATACACTTAGTTTATAGGTTGTAATTTTGTGGCCCATTTACAGCAAAACATGATGAATAACATTTCAGAGGTGGGCGCAAGGCAGTCGCTCGGATAATCAAAACTATGTCACAAAATTCACACAAACATGTGTGGGGTAAGGATTAGAGTACATGTACCACATTTCTACAATAATGGGAGTTTTGCTTAATAAATGTAATCCAAAAATTTAAAAATAATAGCTTTATTGAGATATAGTTCAAATTCCTTACAATTCAACCCTTTAAAATGTACAATTCATGTTTTTTTTTAAATTTATTTATATATTTTTTAAAGATGGGGTTTCACCATGTTGGTCAGGCTGGTCTTGAACTCCCGACCTCAGGTGATCCTCCTGCCTTGGCCTCCAAAGTGCTTGGATTACAGGCGTGAGCCACCGTGCGCAGCCGTAATTCATGTTTTTTAAATATAATCAGTGGTGTGCAACAATCACTGTAATCAATTTTAGAGCATTTCGGTCACTTGAAAAAGAAGGCACACACTCCTATTCCTCCATTTCCCCTCCCACTGCCCCAGCCTGCTCCAAACTGCACTACGTCAGCATTGCCAGTTACAAGCAAACACGTGCATGCATCTACACGTGCACAGACATGCGTGAATGAAAACAAAATGTCTGAACACACACACACACACACACACACATACACACACACACACACAGTTTATACCTAGAAGGAAGTAAGGGTAATAAGAGAAAGTAAACTACCCAAATGAACACATCTAATTAAAAACAGGGGAGTCTAGTTTAAGACCAAGATTTTTTTTTTTTTTTTTTTTTTTTTGAGACAGAATCTCGCTCCGTCACCAGGCAATAGGCTGGAGTGAAGTGGTGCGATCTTGGCTCATTGCAACCTCCGCCTCCCAGGTTCAAGCAATTTTCCTGCCTCAGCCTCCAGAGTAGCTGGGACTACATGCATGCCCCACCACGCCCAGCTATTTTTTTTGTATTTTTAGACTCAAGATTTTTGGATACCTAATCCAATCCGTTGACTTTATGCACTTTGAGAAATTATGAAAACACACTAAAGATTTTTGAATTTATACTATGTAGCTTTGAACCAGCACCTTAGTAATCACCAAAGAAGTCCATAAGTCTTGTAATTTATCCAGAACATGCATATGAATCCCATTAATGTAAATATTCTCCCTAACAAGTGCACTTAACATTCCCATTTGTCACAGACACAAAAGGTAATTCCTTTGAGATACAAGAACATCTTTAGCTCTTATTCTGCACCAAAAAGTCCACAGGAATAATGATCACTTTGAAAATGACATTTTCATTTAATAATTATCCAGTCATTCTTAACATAGTGGGAAAATGCATAGGGATACATGTTTATCCTCAGAGTTAATTAATTTTTTTCATTTTTAAAAATTAGCACATAGTAATTGTATGTATTCATGGTAAATAATGTGATGCTTTGATACATGTATATTTTGTGTAATTATCAGATCATGGTAATTAGCATATGCATCACTTTAAACATTAATAATGTATGTGTTGTGAGAACACTCAAAACCCTCTCTTCCAGCTATTTGTGATATACAGTCCATTACTGTGAGCTGTGGTCATCCTACTGTGCTCTAGACTAACAGAGCTTATGTCTCCCATTTAACTATAACACTGTGCCTGTTGACAACCTCTCCCCATCTCTGACCCTTCCATGTGCCCCAGTGTGTGGTAAGCAGCATTCTACTCTCAACTCCAATGTCACTCACTATCAGGAAAATGCAATACAAAACCACAATGTGATACCACTTCACCCAGGTTAGAACGGTGACTAACAGAAAGGCAAAAGATAACAGATGCTGGTGAAGATGAGGAGAAAAGCTAACTCTTCTGACTGTTAGTGGAAAGAAGTATATCCTTTATAGAAAACAGATGAAGTTTCCTTAAAAATTAAAAACTGATTCAGCAATTCCATTACTGGGCCTATATCCAAAGGAAATGCAATCAGTATGTCTAAGGGACAGCTGTACTCCCACGTTTATTGTAACAGTATTCACAACAGCCAAGATATGAAGTCAACCTAAATGCCCACCAACACATGAATGGATAAAGAAAATGTGGTACTTATACACAAGGGAACACTATTCAGCCACAAAAAGGAACGAAATTCTGTCATTTGCAACAACACAGATAAGGTTAGAGGACATTTTGCAAAGTGAAAATTGCCAGGTGCAGAAAGACAAATACCATATTGTATCACTTATATGTGAAATCTATCCTTAAATTTAAGGCACACACTATCCCAGGCAAATAATACCAGATTTTTTCTTGGAGTTTCCATGGCTATTGCTGGGAGTCTGATCCCATATTACAGAGTAGTAAAAGAATACTCTGTAATACTGATGGGAATATATTTATATACTGCAGCCTCTAAACTGCTTTTCTTCCCATGTGCTGATGCATATTAATTTGTCCTCTATCACATACATTCTTATATTCATCAAGAATTATTTTGTAAAAGCTATGAGGTCTTTTTAGGAAAAACAGAAGCTTTTCCTTGAGAAAGGACAGCATTTTTTCTTCATCGATGGCGCTAGCACACAAATGCTCATGAAACCAGGCTGACTGATCTGGACAATATTTCAAGTGGATCCATCTAGAGGAAAAAAGCTTTTAGCACAAGCAGATTATACTTTCCCTAATATAGAACATACTTTTTCTATGATTTTACACAAAGCCACTCATGCTTACAATGGGATATTGGAGAGGGGCCAACATTGAGTCATTCTGAGTGATGAAGCCACTCTGAGGAGTGGAAATATGAAATATACATCAAAGCCAAGTGATCATAAATGAGCACATTTGCTGATTTTCAGTACAGTATATGCAGGACACTTTCCCCCAGAAGTGTAACGGAACAGCTGATAATCACAAATAATGCTCTGTTTGAACTTCAGGATAAGAGGAGAGTTTTCTCTGAAAGCGTCAGAAATATACTTTGGTACACATCAAAGAGATGCCAAGGATCATCAGGGAGAGTTTGAGGAACTGAAAGAAAGCTATGAGAGTGCCCCCATTTAATTTATATAGGGTCAAAGCTAACATTCACTCAAATCATATGTAAAATGTTCACAAATTATTAGATACTTCTCTGGAACTCAGAATACAGCCTTTGAGCTTGCTCTTGGGTCCTGAATGGATAAGAGTTGCCGAAAATAAAGAATGATTAGGATTTTTGTTAGAGTAAAACCCAGAAGTATACACACACACACACTCATAAACGCACATTCCAATAAATAGCTGCTGGAAAAAACAGCACACAAAAACCTAAAATGGTTTAAAATACATTTCCAGGGGCTAGAGATGTTATGTATGTTCTAACATGGAAATTCAGCTGGTGCACATGAAAATACGTTTAAAATCCCACACATTCATTAATTTTGCAATTATTGTGCAGCATTAACAGAGAGTCAGAGAAGAATTAGACAACAGTCCCTGACCTCATAGTATTCGTAATTATTTTATTTATTTTTCTTGAGGAGTTTTCCTCTTGTTGCCCAGGCTGGAGTGCAGTGGAGCAATCTTGGCTCACTGCAACCTCTGCCTCCCTGATTCAAGCAATTCTCCTGCCTTAGCCTCCTGAGTAGATGGGATTACAGGTGCTCGCCATCACACCTGGTTAAGTTTTTTTTTGTATTTTTAGTAAGAGATGGGGTTTCACCACCATCTTGGCCAGGCTGGTCATGAACTCCTGACCTCAGGTGATCCCCCCGTCTTGGCCTCCCAAAGTGCTAGAATTACAGGCATCAGCCATTGCACCTGGCCTCACACTTATTTTGAAAGTACGTGTATAAATAAAACACAATATGACATCTAATGTGGGAGCAACATGGGGAAGGAAATTGAATATTCTTGAGGGAAGGCGGTTTATAGAGAACAGGAAACATGTGGTTTGCCTTGAAAAAATAAATGGAGGAAACCATAATTCGAGGAGCAAATGCCATTTTAATCAAGAGGGAGCACATAAGTAAAGATTTGGAAGTGGGAAAATGCACAGGAAAAAGAAGGCGCACTCGCCGCCGAGCCTGTGTGGTCCAGCAGGGGCCGCTGCGGGAGAGATGTCCAGAGAGGACCAGGTGGCAAGTGGCGCCTTGATAGAAGGAGATTACCTGTGGACATCATAGACAAATGAAGCAAGGAGATGATATGTTCACTGTTATGTGTTCTACATGTATTTCTCGTTGCAGAGTAGAAGATGGAGAAGAAACGGACAAGTTAAGATGCCGTGCTACTAGGAGACTGTCTGACAGCAATGTTGACAGAAACAGACACTGAGTCAGGAAGCTGGGGACCGGCACACAGGCTCATTAGAGCCAGAGCTTGTCCAGGAGATGCAAGAAGATGAACCAACTCCATTTCAGGGCACTGTGTTGATTAGAATCATCATTGCTGGACTAAGATGCTCATTCATGAAATGTGGTCATATACTTCATTTATTTGTTGTTTAGTAATATTTATTTATATAGTGCACACTGTGTGACAAGCAGTATTGATTTGTTTTTCTCCCTTAGCAAAACTCAATGCACTATCTGCCTTTACAGATTAGACAAGTGCAGAGGCAACTGAAAGAAACAAAGGCTAGGATTCAACCAGGGCAGCTGGGCTCTTCAGCACTGGCCCGGCTTTCCCTCATCCCAGATTATTTAAGAAAGCCATGCCCAGTCGTCCTGTATACAATGACATGGTTATTGGCATTTTTCACTGGAGAGTGTTATGGTTATCCAGAATCTCCTAATGGGCTGTGCATAATTTTGAAAAAAAAAAAAAAAGAAGAAGAAGAAGAAACAACATCATCTTGAACCAGCTGTTCTTCATTTATTGAAGGAATTACCTCTAGAGAGAAAAAATGAGTAAGAGACAATTCTGGAACTCACAGATGATCTTCCCCGAAGACATGCTACTAGGAGACTGATAT